GGGCAGGTTGAAGGGAGGTGGCCTGCCTGATGTTGGGGGGCAGGTTGTTCCAGAGTTTGGGGCCCATGATTGAAAAAGCCTGATCTCCTCTAAGCTTCAGTCTTGTCAGGATATAATAAAGTCCAGTTGTTTTTGTCTTGAACTTTTTTCCATTCATCCATCCATTATCTTCCGCTTTTCCCCAAGTCGGGTTGGGGGGGCAGCACCTTGAGCTGGGAAGCCCAGACATCTCTTTTCACAGCCACCTCTTCCAGCTCTTCTGGGAGGATTTCAAGGTGTTTCCAGGCCAAGTGAGAGACATAGTCTCTTTAGCGTGTCCTGGGTCTTCCCCAAGGTCTCCTCCCAGTCGGACATGCCCGAAGCACCTCCCTAGGGAGGCCTACAGGGGGCATTCTTAGCAGATGCCCGAACCACCTCAACTAGCTCCTCTCGATGTGGAGGAGCAGCGGTTCTACTCCGAGTCTCTCCCGGATAACCGAACTTATCACCCTATCCCTAAGGGAGAGTCCAGCTACCCTGCAGAGAAAACTCATTTCAACCGCCTATATCCACAATCTCATTCTTTCGGTCACTACCCAGAGCTCGTGACCATAGGTGAGGGTAGGAACGTAGACTGACCGATAAACAGAGAGTTTTGCTTTACAGCTCAGCTCTCTCTTTACCACAACGGACCGGTACAGAGACCACAATACTGCAGATGCTGTACCAATCTATCTGTCAATCTCACGCTCCAATCTTCCCTCACTCGTGAACAAAACCCTGAGATACTTTAACTCCTCCACTTGAGGCAGAACCTCACCCTCGATCATGAGAGAGCAATCCACCCTTTTCCGGTTGAGGACCATGGCCTCAGATTTGGAGATGCTGATTCTCATCCCAGCTGCTTCACACTCGGCTGCGAACTTCTCCAGTGAAAGCTGAAGATCACATCACGATGACGCCAACAAGACCACATCATCTGCAAAGAGCAGATATGGAATCCTGAGGCCACCGAACCGAAAACTCTACGTAGATTGGCTGCACCAAGAAATTCTGTCCATAAAAGTTATGAACAGAATCGTGACAACGGGCAGCCCTGGCGGAGTCCATCTCCCACCCTGAAGGGATCCGTCTTACTGCCGGCAATGCGAACCAAGCTCTCACACTGCTTGTAGCAACGGGCCCCCAATCCCATACTCACGGAGCAACCCCCACAGTGTACCCCGAGGAACACAGTCGAACGCCTTCTCCATATCCACAAAACACATGTAGACTGGATGGGCAAACTCCCATGACCCCTCGAGGACCCTAGTGAGGGTAAAGAGCTGATCCAGTGTTCCACAGCCAGAACGGAATCCACATTGTTCCTCTCAGATCTGAGGTTTGACTAACGATTGGACTTGCTTCTCCAGTACCCCTGAATAGACCTTACCAGGGAGGCTGAGTGATGCCACTATAATTGGAGCATACCCTTCGGTCCCCCATTTTGAAGAGGGAAACCACCACCCCAGTCTGCCAATCCAGTGGCACTGCCCCCGATGTCCATGTGACATTGCAAAGGCGTGTTAACCAAGACAGCCCCACAACATCCAGAGCTTTAAGGAAATCAGGGTGAATGTCATCCACTCCCGGAGCCCTGCCGCCTCTGAACTTTTTAACTACCTCGGCAATTTCAGCCACAGTTATGGATGGATCAACCCCAAAGTCCCCCGACTCAGTTTCTTCCATGGAAGATGTGCTAGTGGGACTGAGAAGGTCTGAGAAGTATTCCTTCCACCTCCCGACGACATCACTGGTTGAAGTCAACAGCAGCCCACCTTCCCTGAATACAGTGTTAGTAAAGTGCTGCTTTCCCCTCCTCAGCCGTCTGATGGTTTGCCAGAATCTCCTCGGAGCTGACCGAGAGTCATTATCCAAGGTCTCAACAAACTCCTCCCACATCCGAGCTTAGGAGTTTAAATTAACTGTCAGTAAGCTCGACCTGTTAACTGAGTCTGTTCCTAATCCTAGTAAAGAAAATCGGCCTTTAGTAACATTTAAATGGCTTAAACTTCTGTCCAGCATTGCAAGATTTCAAATAAATGTTGGACTGTCAAGTAATATGAAATTGAACATTTTGAGAGCATGATTAAGACCTCATTTAGGTGTAAGAATAATGTACTGACTACATTACATTAGTATTGACAGCTCAAGTGTCTTTAATGTTCTGTACCTGTGTGAATGTTGGATGGTGCAATGCTGCATCTGGTCCATCCATCAGGCCTTGTTGCATGCTGGGATTTGATGATTTGTTGTGAATGCTGAGAGGAGATAAATGAGTGAGGAAGTTGGCTTTGAGGATCCAGATTCTGGTGTTTGCAATGGTACTGGAGGGTTCGGTTGTATTTAGAGCTGCAGGATTCTGGACCTGCTTCTGGGATCATACTTTTCTCCCTGTATGGTCCCATCAGGTTCAAGCATCTCTCCCTCCACGGCCCCTTCTGTCGGGAAAAGTTTGAAAGGGCTGGTTGGAAGAACCTGGAGACCTCCTGATGCCCATAAACAAAAACACGATAAACACTGATGAGTTTAAGTTGTACTAACCTCCAATAGCAAATTTGCATATTTTGACAGTTTTATAGCTTTAACAGACTGATCATCTTCAGATATAAATATCCCTCCATCCATCATCTTTACCTGCTTTTTCCTTTATGGGTTGCGGGGGTCACTGGTGCCCATATCATTGTGCGAGAGGTGCAGGATACCCTGCACAGGTCTCCAGTCCATCACAGGGACACCTGGACAGGTCTCCAGTCCATCACAGGGACACATAGAGACAAACAAGACAAACAACCATTCGCTCTCTCACCTAGGGACAATTTAGAGTCACCATCAGCCTAACATGCATGTTTTGGGTCTGTGGGAGGAAACCGGAGTACCTGGAGAAAACCCATGCAGCTCGGAGAGAACATGGAACTTCCACCCAAAATGGTTCCTGGCCGAGATTTGAACCGGCAACCTTCTTGCTGAGAGGCAACAGCTCTAACAACTACGCTACCATGCTGCCGATATAAATGTTTGATGATAGAAATATGTTTTAGTAATTTTGTTGTTTTTTTCTCTTCTAGCAAGAATCCAGAAATGACTGAGTCTGTGATTTTAATGTGGAGTCACAATACTCCACATTAAAATCACTACATGTAAGCACATATTAAACTATACCCTAACATGTGAATACTTTGTACCAAAGGTACTTTTTTATAATACTTTTCAATAGACCATTTTTCTTATCTTGTATTTTCCCCTCATTTGACATTCCTCTACAGTGACCTGGGCAACAATAGCAGCCAAAACATTTTATTTAATAATGTGAAGAAAAAAAAACATCCTTGATATGAAAATAAAAGATGATGGCAACTGTAATTTGTGTGAAAACATAAAAATGAATAAAAACAAAGAACATGGTTAGAACTCTAAATTGTTCCTGTTCCTTGGTGTGAGACAGAGTGAATGGTTGTTTGTCTCTATGTGTCCCTGTGATGGACTGGAGACCTGTCCAGGTGTCCCCCACCTCTCGCACAGTGACCCTCGTGATCCAGAAAGGGAAAATGGATAAAGATAATGGCTGGATTCAACAAACTCACCTCTGGATATGGAGCTGATCTAATTTTGGTCTTCAGGTTAACAGCTTGAGTTCTGAGGTGTCTACAGTGGTCCTGAGCAGTAAGACTCAGAGGACACTTAGTGGCTCGATTCTGGTCTTCAGATAACTGCAATTCCTTGCATTCAGTGTTACTGTACATAAGAGACAATGTTACAGATTTTTTTCTTTTAACTGAAATATTTAAAAGCTTTGTGTAAAAATATGCATAAAGAGGGAAGTGACTCACGTAAGGACATAGTTCACGCATACGATACAGTGAGGTCTCGAGGATCGGCTGTTATGGACGATGGTAGCGTAGCTTTGCACCCATACCCAGCCTCCATGCTTAGATAACATGCGGTAATATTTTGTAGTAACTTGCCCCTTTACCAGCACTACAGAGAAGACAAAAATCAGGATTATTGACAGAAACAAAAACATTTAAACTGTCTGAACATCAGTTTGTCATTGTTTAGAAGAGCTTCCTTTAACCTTGTAATAACCATTCAATGCATAAATTATTTGTCAGCCAGCCATTGTTTCATTTAATCACTACGCTGATAAAATATTCAGAATGGTACGGCAGCTGCACCCTGGCTGGCAGGGAGAGGCTTCAGAGAGTAGTCAAGACAGCACAAAAGATAACTGGCTGCCCTCTCCCCTCCCTGATGGACATTTACACATCACGCTGCCTCAACAGAGGAGAAAGCACAATCATGGACTGTTCTCACCCGAGTGTTGAACTGTTTGACTTGTTACCTTCAGGGAAACGCTACAGGTGCATCAGAACACGAACAAACAGATTCAAGAACAGTTTTTTCCTGAAATCCATCACCACCCTGAACTCACACATGCACTGATTTAATCATCTAACCTCCCAAACACCTGAACTTCTACTGTGCAACACTACTGACATTTCATACTCTCAGTCACCTTAACTACCTCACTAATATCCATGATGTGCAATACAATTGTGAGAAACTTGTATTTTTTTACTTTCATAGTGCTATTATATCTATATTGTGTTACAGTTTTTATATTTTTAGCGTGTGTTTTTCTTAAGCATGTTTTTGCACTGGAAAAAGGAGTGGCTCTTAATTTCATTGCACTTGCGTATAATGACAATAAAGGCATTCTGATTCTGATATTCAGTGTTTTATGTTTTTAAAGTGATTGGCATGAATCTGTTTTTACATGTTTTAATCCAAGCCTCTTCCAACTTTATGTAGTGTCGTGTTAAAGTGTGACAGTGATGAGGTGTACAGAGTGAGTCAGAGCTCATCCATCATTCTAAATCTGTGGTGAACATATTCACCTAAATAATTTGGTGTGTGTGAGATCAGAGGAGTCATGTGCGACTCACCATTCAAAGTGTGGATGCTGGTGTTTGGCTTTGGTCACAGTAGTGGGCTGTCTATAGGGGCAGATGTGGTGCATCCCCACCTAAAAAAAAATCCATTCACCCCACTAAGTATTTTCTCCCAAAAAATAATATAAATTACTTGCCGTGCTTGCGATGTATTGTTTTGTTCTCTGTATTTGTCAACTATTTGGACAACTGTAAATGGAATTTAAAATGATTTTTAATTATTCCATTTTTAGCTCATTTACAGTTTAGGGGCGCAGTTAGTAGAGCTGCCTCCTCTCAGCGAGCAGGTTGTCCTTGTTCAAATCCCGGCCGGGGGAATATCTGGGTGGAGTTTGCATGTTTTCTCTGTGCATGTGTGGGTTTTCTCCGGGTACTCCAGTTTCCTACCACAGACCAAAAATCTGCATGTTGCTAAATCAGGCCAGCTGTGGCTGAGTGGTTAGAGTAGTCGTCTTCAAATGGAAGAGTTGGGGTTTTGATTCCACCAGCAGTCACATGTTGAAGTGCCCCTGGGCAAGACACTGAACCCCTTTAACCTGTCCATAAGACAAAACTCCACTCCAGACACTTGGAAAACAGCCTTTGTTCTTCCTTTGCTGAAGGGAGGTGACCCCCCCTCACTGAACTATGGACCAATCTCTAAACTCTGCATTTTAGCCAAGGTTCTAGAAAAACTGATAAACTCTCAAATAAAAAAGTATTTGGACTCATTTAACATCTTACCTCCACATCAATCTGGTTTCAGGAAACAACACAGCACAACCACTGCTTCACTGAAGGTTCTTACTGATGTTGTTGAAGCACTGGATGCTAAGGATTATTGTGCTGCACTTTTCTTAGACCTGTCTAAAGATTCTGACTCTGTGGATCAGAACATCTTGTGTCATAAACTCTCAGAAACTGGTTTCTCAGATCACACCATTGGTTGGTTCTCTAACTATCTCTCAGACCGGAGGCAATGTGTTCAACATAATGGTACTTCCTCCAGTTATTTAACAGTCAACAATGGTGTACCACAAGGCTCAGTCTTAGGACCCACCCTCTTTACAATCTGCATAAGTAATGTAGGTCAGATCATCCCTGATGCATCCATACATTTCTATGCTGATGACACAGTTGTTTATTGTCAAGCCAAAACATTTGTTAAAGCTTTCCAGCTTTTGCAATCCGCCTTTGACATCATCCAGACTGATTTGTTCTGCAATATATATTCTTTTTTTTTTTTTTTTTTTACAGACAGTGTAACACAATTTGTACAATTTGTGTGCTTAGTGATTCAGGATATAAATGTGTGTTCCACTAATATTTTTGCTCTGGAGCTGCTGTTGGATCATGTTTCAGTTGAAAAAATGTTGATGTCCAGCCCTTCTTTTATAAACAAGATGGCGGTGCACAGACGAGCAGCTGCTTCTCAGGCTCCCAGGGGAAAACCCTGTTTTTTAGGGTTTTCATTAATTCAATTCATTCAACCTTTATTTATACAGATAAATCGCATTGAGCCTTGAAGACTCATTTACAAGTGAGACCAGTTTGGACAGACAATAAATTGGTGAAATTGACAACATAGGTTTTGGAGGCACAAAAAATTCAAACAGGCTCTCAATATTTGGCTGAAGATAATAGCCTGAAAATGAAAAAAACTCATATACACAAGCACATAGTGGCGCTAACATTCCGGGGGGGGGGGGGGGGGGGGGG